AAGCCATCTCTGTCATCTAAGGTACAGTCATTATTCTCCCAATAGGTGTAATCACATGCAGAGGCCTGCTCTTGTATGAATTTTAAATCAACATTTGTGTCTAAATAGTCTGGGAGTGTAACAAGTGGCAGCTGTAGGGGCACAGATAATACTTCCTGTGGAGGTGGGAGCTGTGATGCAGCTGCAGCCTTGGCTGTCACGTCTGCTAAGGCATTACCTGTTGCTTCGTCTGTGTCAGCTGTACTGTGTCCTTTCGTTTTTACAACTGCAACGGCCGATGGTAGCTGTATAGCCTGAAAAAGTCTTTGAACAAAATCACAATTTAGCAATTTATTTTCCATCAGCAGATCTAAATCCTCTCTGTCTCCACAATGTGCCAAAGTCATGCACAACGCCAAATGCATAGCGGCTGTGTGCGTAAATTGTCACATGCTTATCCAAATGTAGCTCACAGGCGCGTATTAAAGCCATGAGCTCTGCTTTTTGTGCTGAGTGAAATGGTAATGAGTGAGCCTCTAGTATGATGTCAGGCACTGTTACCACTGGATAGCCACAAAGAAATGAGTTGTCATTCGGCCTTGAACAGGACCCGTCCACATAAACCGTGGCTGAGTCTGAGATAGGTGTTTGCTCTAAATCTGGACATGGTGCTGTGGATTCCTGTATACGTGTCATGCAGTCATGAACGTCAAGCCTGTCTGAGCCATCCTGTCGGTCACAAGAACACAGCATAGGATCAATAAATGTGCTGGCGAATCAGGTGTGCTGCTCGCTTTTATAGTGAGATTTGCATATGTTGTTTAGTTATGTTTGCTACAATGGTCGTGACCTGGTGATTGGTGTGTAGAATAGTGTCATGTGAGAGTGTGAGCTTCCCGCAGTCCCTTATCATGATAGAGCAAGCTGCTACTGCCCTCAGGCAGGCTGGCATTCCTGAACAATTCAGGCAGCACCTTTGAGTGGCGGAGGTCAGCACTCCCTGTAATGCATTGAAAGAGGCAGTCATTTCTGTGGACCACAGTATTCGAGGAGGCTTGTCTTTTTTACAACAGTCACGCAGAATGTGGTCATGAAAAGAACAGTCTGGTATCCACTGTCTGCAATAGTTCACCATGCCTAGGAAGGACAACATTTCCTTCTGTGTAGTGGGCCGAGGGACGGAGGTCACAGCTTTGACCCTGTCTGCAGTCATGGAACGTTTTCCGTGAGACAGTGTGAATCCCAAATATTGAACAGAAGTCTGACAGTACTGCATTTTCTTTGCATATGCTTTGTGGCCAGTCTTTTGGAGGTGCTGGAGAAGCATGTGTGTAGCAGTTTGACATAGTTTTTCACTTTCAGCACAGAGGAGGAGGTCATCCACATGTGGATCAGGGTGCAGCCCTGGAGGAGTGAAGCACCATTGAGAAAGCAGCAGAGCTGTCTATCATGCCTTGGGGCAAACGAGTCCAAGTGTACTGCTTATTTCTATGTGTGAATGCAAATAACGGCTGTGTGTCACAGGTACTGAGAAAAAGGAGTGGAGCATAAATCCACCACGGTAAAATGTGTATGCAATGCATGTCAATATGCTGTGAACATCTGAAACGAGAGGTGGCAGAGGAATGTTGACTGCATTAATTTGCCTCAAGTCTTGTATGAAACGCCATACGCCAGGTTTGTTAGGCTTTGGCACAGGATTGACAGGAGTGTGGGCTTTATTACTCCTGTAGTCAATAAATCTCCTATCATGACATCTAGGGCTGCGGCTTTTTCCGTGGAAATGGGATGCTGCTTGACATATACTGCTTGTTGTGTTTTAATAGGTGTACGTGATAAAGTGTACAGTCAATAAATCCTATCTCATTCTCACTTTTTGACCACAATGTCATATTCTGGTATTCAGCTGGCAACATAAGTGCAGAAATAGTACAGTGGATAGGATAGGTTAGATCTATGTGACGACATGGTGTAGTTATATCATAACCTATGTCTGAGTTATGTGACAAAATCACTGTTTGACCTTCACTTGTGTGAGCACTTATCATGTTGTTGAACAGTGTGAGAGAAACAAAAGTGTGGCTCCCAGTCATGGGATTACCTGGTAGTGGTGTCTGTACACGTTTTTTGGCACAGTGTGTGACATACAGTACCGGACAAAAAGGATGTTGAGTTCATTCTCTGCTGAGGGTCCAGCTGACACAGAGGATGTTCCTTCTCCATCATGTCGGTACATAGGGCAGAGAAAACATAAGCTGTTATCAGTGTCAGCAAACATTTCACCCTTTATGTTAAATGAAATACACAAATTCATTTTTGCCTTGGGTGTCTGCGGCTGCTGGAAAACTGAGCTGAATTTGCACCTCTAGCTTGTCCAACAGTGCATAAAGCGTTTTATGAATACTAGGATAGATTCATCAGGCTTCTGTTTACACATAGTTACTGCATTTAAGTCACTTTTGTCTCTGGACATTGTTAGCAGGAATTTCTTTAGATTCTTAAAGAAATCGGCGACTTTGTCATTATTTACCCTCCTTTTGTCCATAGCGGTAACATTTGATGCATCACGTCGCGGCATTCTATCATATATTTTCTACAGGACTTTTTAAGCAGACTACTTTTCTTATCACAAATGATATTCAACATTTCTACTGACCTGTTTTCTGGCGATAATCGTTCGGGATAAGGCTCCGAAAAGAAATTAGAATGCATTGAACTTCTTAAGTTGTAAACAAAGTCAGTCACATAAGCACTCCCGCATGTTCTGGATACGTGATCATGGACGTCTTCACCGATTCGCGGACGTAGGTTACACGTAACCGGAAATGGGAGTTATACTGAGCCGTTATTTGAGACTTTATTTTGTATTTTATTAATTTTTGGTTTTACAGGTACTTTAGATTTTTTTATCGGACCTGTCTGTGGTCTTTGAATAATTCTGACCCATGTTCAGTGATTTCCAGAGGGGTTTACACGCTAGGAGGATTTAGGTTAGTATTTTCGCTGCGGCACAGCTGAGGTCACTTTAAATTTATTGCTAGCAATTTTTTGTTTGTGTGAGCAACTCTCACTTAGCGAGCAACTTCTCGTAAAACAACAGGCAACTTCCTGTGTCTTTCTGCTTTTAATTTACTGCTTTTAACCCTTGAGACCCGTGTTTTTTTTTTGTTTTTGTTTTTTTTTTTTTTAAAAGAAAAATTAAACAATTAATTATTATTATTATTTTTTTTTTTACGTATAAATGTGTTGTGTCTTTCCACTTGATTATAACTGATTTATTTATAACATTTTATATAAAAGAAAAACGAGAAGCACATTAATTCATAGTAATTTAACATAAAATTGTTTGATAGTGTTAATTTGGAAAGCCACAACTCTAGCGGGTCCACCAACACCACACAAGGGTTAATTTACTTTATTCGGGGACTGAGGAAGTCAGTCAGTGTATCTCTCTGGATCACTAAGTGAAACTTCGTCAGCATATCCCGTTTTTTTTATGGATCGATCACTGAGAGAGGTATAATAGGTCTTTATATAAATATGAAAGACGCATATTTACCTTCTGTCAGCAATCCCACTTCTGACACCAAGATTGAAGGAAATTGCCTTCCCGGGTTTCCTCCGTGGCGTGAGCGATAAGCAGAGTTCTGTCCTTTCCTTCTAAGATTCCTAATTATTTAAAGTAACACTCAGGTATGCCATTCAGCGTGTTAGTACGAGCTCGGGAGCAGCTTGGGAGAACAAGAAAACAGAGACTGCTTTAGGTTGCCTTCCCAATCGACTCAAAGGTTTATTTGATACACAGCAGTTTATATAGATGAAAAAAGGTTCGTGTGTCAGCTTTCCCAGTTCAAACCGGTACAGACCAAATAAGGAAACGTCTTCCTGCCTTCTGAGCAAAGAAGTATCCTGTGTAGTTTATCAGTTCAGCTACAATTTATGATCATCCCAGCAAAATACACTCCTAGACATAGAATACAGAGTTCTTTCATCAGTGAATTCTGAAACAAACCACCTAGCCTTTAACGAGCCTTTTCCAGGAGATAAAGAAAAGGGAGGATGGGAGTAAAGAAGTGGTCTCATCTCTGTGGTGTTTTCGACCTTGAGGTACCAGCTTGTGAGTCTCACATTAATTCTTGGGTCACAGAGAAAGAGAAAAACAACTAGTAGATTGGCCTTATTGAGTAACAGTTTTCCTGTATAAAACAACATCCTGTAAATGCTTACCGTGGTATCAAAACATCATAACAACAATGACGTAAGCGAGTGCGACGGCTGTGGTAGCACGTGTGTCAACAATAGAAAACATGGAGCGAGGGATAGAGTACGATCGTGCAGCATTTAATACTTGGAAATACTGACATTACTTTGAATTTGACTCTTTAAAAAGCGACAAAAACATAAGCGTACGTTGTACACTCTGCATCAGAAGAAAACTTCTTTCTACGTCGAAAAATTCCACTTCCAACCTGAGCAAGCACCTAGCACGCTGCCACAAGAATGTTAAATTGACAGAAAACCCCCAGGATCCCCTCACTGACGTGACCGCTGTGGCTACCACATCTACTTCCACCGGGCAAACCTCAGATGGACTCACTCCTGCTAAACAGGTTAAACTAGACGTAAGAGCGACAGGACTTAGTGCCGCTGAACTGAAGAAGCTCGTCGCTGCCTATATCGTCGAGGACATGTTGCCGATTTCCACTGTTGACTCTGAATCATTCCGACGCATCGTAGAAAAAATACCAACTAAAAGTGGTGTCAAGCTGCCCCAGAGAAAGTCATTTGTAGGATACCTTGAGAGAGAATATGACAAAATGAACTCTAACTTGAAGGCTACACTCGAAGAGGCAGAGTTTGTTTCCACCACTGCTGACATCTGGACGGTAAATAATAAAAGTTTTATGGGTGTAACAGTTCACTGGATTAATTCCACATTACAGCGCAACAAGGCCGCTCTAGCATGCAAGAGAATTAGAGGCAGCCATATGTAACAGAGTTAATAATACATATGAAAAACATGCACTTACCTGTTCTTAATTATCATTTTAAGTGTGAATTTTATCATTTTTTTTTAATTGTATTTTATTTTGAAAACCCAGAAACCGGATCTCACCCTAACGTTTAGAAGCTGCTAAGGCTTCCGCTCCTCACAGCGCGCGCTTGCACTGTGAGGGTAAGTCCTGTAATGAAAGGCTCTGGCATTTTTATGGTTTCTGGTGTGAATGTTGTTACATAAGTTATATATGTCGATGTATATAGGTTCATATTGATATTAGAAAGTTTCTGTGTAACTGAAACAAAGGCGGGTTGCTGTTAAATAGTGTTTCTGCCGTATTTATGCTCTTTGGCAGTTAGTCTTTGTCAGCCCCCTAGTGGTTGCTGCGCATAGCAGGAAATGTGTTTGGATTTACCGTTTTTCTGTGCTTTTTGTGATGTTGCTTTACATTGTAGGAGCTACAATTGCCGGTACCACCAGAAGACACCTGTTGAATGTGTTTTATGTCTTCTGCAGGTATGTGAGCTTGTTAACAGCCATTTTGTCTGTAAAGCACAAGCAAGTGAAGATGTAATGCGCTATTGTTAATTTGTCCACTAGAGGGAAATGTTTAGTCGGTGGTATTTATGTTTATCCTGTTATTTTGTTTTATACGATTGTGGAATGTATTTTATTAGTCATAAGATTTCTTTTGTATACAAGCTCAGTATGACAGACTGTAAAATGGGAGAAATTATTATTTTCCACCTTTTCTTTATTAAAAAGTTAATTGTAAGTCTGTTAACACAGCGCGCGCTTGCACTGTGAGGGAGCTACAATTGCCGGTACCACCAGAAGACACCTGTTGAATGTGTTTTATGTCTTCTGCAGAAGTAAACTGTGAAAAGCCAACCCTTCTGAGCGTCTGTGATTCTTGAAGAGCTGGAAGTGTTACACATACCTATGATGTAATCGGAGCAGAGCTCAAAGAAATCCATTCATCATATGGACTACAAGGCAAAGTTATTGCATCTTTAACGGATAACGCATCCAATTTTGCCAAAGCATTCAGAGTATGTCAGCCCTGTAATTTGGAGTCTGAATCTGAAAATGAAGAAGGTGATGACGAGGAACCGACCTTTACTGATGTCATAGAAGCTCTTTCAGCTGCATCTGGTGATGCACAGTTCAGCCTCCCTCCACACTACAGATGTGCATCGCACACAATTAACTCGATTTCAACAAGCGATGTTGACAAACATCTAAATTCCTGTGCAGACACCAAGGCTGCATATAGGAGTAGCACTGCAAAATGTTCTGCTCTTTGGACTAAAGCAAGTCGATCAACATTAGCCTCTGAACAGGTGGAGGAAGTCAGCCGGAGGAAACTAATGGTACCGACATCCACAAGGTGGAATTCCCTGTATGAGGCCATTTCTAGAATCATCACAATTCCCTTGAATGAACTTAATCCCCTGTGTGTAAAACTGGGAATCAAGTGCCTTAATGAAAGGGAGTACCAGTTCTTGAAAGAGTACTGTGCTGTGATGAAGCCCCTGACAGTGGCCCTGGACATCTTACAAGGGGATGAGTGCACCTACGGGGCTTTACTGCCAACACTCACAAGCCTGATGTCAAAGACCCTTGCCCTGAAAGATGACCTCTATGACAGCCAGCCTTCCAGATGTCATTGTAAAGGTAAGATTATTATTAACTGCTTTGGGTGGATTTGTTAAATTTATTATACCATTCACAGTGGGTGGATGTTATACTTTGTTTTAAGCAGCGGGTACAATTATTAAAATGATAGAATAAAAGACCAAGTTTTCACCCCTTGTTAAATATCAGGGACATTGATCATCATTAATCATGAATATTAATCATAATATCAACAAAACCAAAATTAAATCTCATACAGTATTGATAATAGAAAATACAGATGGTTTAGAGCTGTAAAGCCCATAAAATAATGACAATAGGTAATTATATAGTAAAATAATTTTATTCTTAGATGCATCATGTTGTATGTTACAGGCCATCAAGACTCGTTTTGATGCTGTTCTGGACAGCCAAGAAGGACTTCTCGCAGCGGCCACTTGTCCCAAGTTTAAACTTCGTTGGCTGAGAGATGAGCGTAGGAGAGAGTATGTGAAGGAGCTCCTGATAACAGAGTGTCGTAAAGCTGCTCCTGCAACTGACAACACTAATATGTCCCAAATGCCAGCCAGCCCAGCCGAAATGGACTTTTTTGAATTTCAGAATCAGCCCACAGAAAGCTTCTCAGCAGAAAAAGAAGTAACTGACTTTTTAAGGTCAGACTATGAGCTCGAGATTCTGAATCAGTTCCCAAATCTCACAAAGATGTACATGAAATACAACAGTCTAACTCCATCCAGTGCACCAGTGGCTGTTCAGTTTAGGTGGATTGGTGCTTTCCCCCAAAAAGGAACAGAATGTCTGATAGAAGGTTTGAGAAGCTTCTGCTGATGCGATATAACCAGTGTTGGGACTAACGCGTTATTAAGTAACGCGTTACAGTAACTACGTTATTATTGTGGTGACGAGCACGGTAACTAGTTATTATGCCAAAACCAGGAACGCGTTACTCGTTACTGGGATTTAGATAGGCTCGTTACTCGTTACTTCGTGTGGTGGCATCGCGGAGCTTCCACAGATTCAGTAACATTAGCAAGTGGTGGAGGCCAGCAGGTGGCTGAAGGAAAGGGGACGCAGAAGGAAAAGAGACCCGAGGCGGCCACCGGTCCAAGTGTGAACTGAACTTCAGGTAAGAAGTTATGACCTGCAGTCTCTCTGGGTCAGATATAAACCAAGTTTAGGTGGAGTTTATTTTCGTTATGCTGACTTTTTCCGTACTGCGTGCTAGCTAGCATGACGGAGTTTCTATACAGCTGGGTGGTGCTATGAAGTTAATGATGTTGAACTTTATTTTGTTCATAAGTTATTAGAGTTGCCAACCGTCCTGCCTGGTATTCAGAGAAAATATTACGCGTTTCTTATTGAAGTGAAAAGGAACAGTTTGTCCCGTAATTCACCTTCAATGAAAAAGACACAAAGCTGGAGTTATTCTGTCTTTGCTGCACAGCTGCCTCTTCTTCTCTCATTCTCCCCCCTCCCTCTCCCGTTTTTACTTCAATCATGAAACTGATCAATGATCAGCTGATCGGCTCTCTTGTTTGTTTATCGCTCACTTTGCGCCAGAAAGAGGAAACCAGCCGATGTCGCGCTAAACAACAGCAGCACGTTTAAGCTTGATCAGCTGTTGTTAGAATTTATTTAATATTAATTTCTAGTATCAGCTGATGTTTGCTGGAGCCACAGCTGCAAAAAAGCTGCTGGTCATGATATGGTTTGGTTATCTGGTGAGAGGGAAACATGAGGATGAAACCAGGAGATGTCCTTACTGGATCATCAGAGCTGAACAGGTGATGGAGAAACAGGTTTACCTTTTAGGTGACATGAATGAGTTGAAGGGAAGTTATGAACTGTTTCTGAGAGACAAATAACACCAGGATCCTTTTTTAGGTAGCTGATAACTGTGCAGGGGCGGGTCTAGCAAAGTGTTGCCGGGGGGGGGGCACAAAGAAATACTTTTCTTTCTTATTCTCATTTAAAATGTTTTGCTTTTAAAAAATAATTATCTGAGTCTTACAACAAACGATTGATAGATTGATACATATATACCATCAAAACAGTGTACATCACTGTCACAACAGTGTTTGTTTTCATTCAAAGGCTTTATGATTTTTCCTATAATGGCGGCCGGTCTCTAGTCAAAATGCCCGGGACGATTTTCTGTCCCAGTCCAGCCCTGTATGCAGCTCATCTGCAGTCTGGTGTTGCCTACATCTTCCTATTCAGAAGGCAGAATTTCCGAGTTCTGAGTACAATCAAAAGCACCACGACTGCAGTTTTTGTGTTGGATGTAAAAGGCGCACATGACGCTGTGACGCAGGCTAGAATCATGGCAGCAGTCAACGACGGTCCAGGCGTGGGATTTCTCTTGTGGAAATGTGCACATTATCTTTTCCTTTCTATTGGTAGGTGGCACAGTGCACTTGTGGCAAGTAAGCAAGCTAGAAGACTGGCAAAGTTATGGAAGCAACACATTAACAGGAGAATTCTGAGTAAAACCAAAGTTACTTTCCCTAGTAACTAGTTACTTTGAAAGTAACGAGTAACTTGAAGTAACTGAGTTACTTTTGAGAGAAGTAACTAGTAATGTAACTAAGTTACTATTTTAAAGTAACTTACCCAACACTGCTCTTTCCGAATTACATGATGTGCTTAGTGCCTTTCAAAACAGAGATCCAGGCTCAGCCCTCATTATAGTGGGAGACTTTAATAAAGCGAACCTTGGACGTATCCGACGATGGGAGATAGGATACTGGACCATTGCTACACGCCATACAAGTAGGGCTACAAGGTTGTTTCACACCCGGCCTTTGGGAAGTCTGACCACAACGCCACAGGCTGGAGCTCGACCAGGCGAGGCACAGGCTGGAGCTCGACCAGGCGAGGCACAGGCGGAGGCTGGACCAGGCGTGGCAGAGGCGGAGGCTGGACCAGACGAGGACGAAGACTCGGATTAAGCTGGACCAGGCGAGGCGGAGGCTGGACCAGACGAGGATGAGGACTCGGATGAAGCTGGACCAGGCGAAGCACAGGCAGAAGCTGGACCAGGCGTGGCAGAGGCGGAGGCTGGACCAGACGAGGATGAAGACTCGGATGAAGCTGGACCAGGCGAGGCAGAGGTGGCGGCTGGACAGGCTCTTCGGGCCCTCCAGCTGACGGGGCGTGAGGCTGAACGGACCCCTCGGACCCTCCAGCGGAGACAGGAGGCTGAACGAGCCCCTTGGGCCCTCCAGCAGAAACAGGCGGCTGAACGGGCCCCTCGGACCCTCCAGCGGAGACGGGCGGCTGAACGGGCCCCTCGGACCCTCCAGCTGACGTGGCAACAGGCCGGCTGCATTCACATGACATCTTATAGGTATCAGTCCAGAAACAAACAGGTGTGAGATGTCTTGAGGCAGAGACCAGCCCAGTCACTGCAAGACCCATGTTAGTTGACATAATAGGTTCAGAAACAGAAAGCCCTGTGTCTACATTCCGCCCTTCAGACTCAATCAATGACATAACGTTATGGCACAGGTAAGCTGGGTCAGCCACAGGGAAAACAAGGATTACTATATTACCCACAAAAACATGACTTAAACCTCCAGGGGGAAGTCCCTGGGTGAACATGAGATATTCAGATATGGATCTGGGTGATGAGAATTGACCAGTCTGATAGCGGTAAGTGGTACATTGACTTGGGACCACGCTAGAGGTGGACTGTAACTCAAGGGGGTTATGTAGAGTGTATGGTGAAATGGGTACGGATAATGCTGTGCTAGCAACCATAGCCGAGACGGGTGACATTTCCGGCTGTGTGCTGGTGTTAACACTAACCTTGGGACTCAAAACCCTGTCCGATAATGTGCTCACAGAAACCTCGGAGAACTGTGTCAAAGTAACCCCGTGAGGGGACGCTACATGGTCATTAATAGTGGAATCGTATCCCCTGGTCTCAGACTCAATCCTCTGAGTAGAGGCGGAAGGGATGGAGGTAAACAGTCCAAAAACACCCTGCTCACGACTGTGGGGAAAACAGAATTTAGGTGGGGACATTTCACAGTTCGTGTTACCCTGATTAGAATCCCTGTTGTCACCTTTAAGTCCCAACATGAGGTCATGACCAGAATTTTTATTTTTAAGTTCATTGGACACAGGAGCAGCAGGCAAAACATGATCACACCTCGTCTCACCCTCCGTTCTTATATGCTCTGCGACATGACCCTCCTCTAAAAAATCCTCATTCACTGTGAAAGCACAAGTGTCTACTTTAAGCACCTCGTAGGTGAGCAGAGCAGA